GTTTCCAGTTGGCCACACCTAACTCTGTCATCAAGACTAGAGATCTACTTACATACCCCACCAAAACCTGTGCAATGCCCTCCTCTCACAATCTTTCAGAGAAGTTCATTGTACTGTGGAATATGAATGGACAGTGATGACACCTTGCCTTGATATGAAGCAATTACACAAGGTGTGAAAGCATCAATGATTACTGGTGTCTTTGAAAAGGGCAAAAGTAGTCCCAAACACAGCTCCTTTTGAATGATTGTTGTAGATATAGTTTAATTTAAACACCCCACTGTCCTTCTGCCCCATCCGATCCACAGTGATCCACTCCTTTTTATGCTTTATTCCTCTGCGGTTCCAATGCTGTGGTAAGAGGTTTTTCTTGATGGCAGAGAACAGACAGTCACAGTTGGTCAGGAGTTAGCCCTCGGTTCTTGCCTGATGGGTTGCTGCATGGAACATAACAACAAGTCAGGAAGATGAGGATGAGGAATGCTGGACAACATTCTCATATGGAAAAGAGAGAAGTAAGGAGGTAAAAGGGGGAAAGGCGGTTGGGGAATCAAGAAAATAAATGGGAATTGGAAAAAAAGCAGATCAGATGAAGAAAGAGTTGTGAGAAGTAAAGGTTGTCAGAGAAAAGCTAAAATAATATTTAGATTCAGTGCTGAAGATAAACAGATTAATTTGAGGAAAGATAAACAGATTCATTTGAAAAAAGATAAACAGATTCATTTGAGAAAAATCAAATTAGAGTAAAAGCTAGGAGATGGAAACTTGCTGGTGATTTGAAAAAATGAGGAGCAAAAAAACAAAGCCTTGGATGTTGAACACCTGGGAAAACAAGAGGTCATAGAGATAAAAGTCATAGGAGAGAATTAAACAGTGAAAGGAGTGATAACAGGAACACCAACTGACGACGATTTAGACCAATTAGAGAATTACATTCTTGGGGGCCAGGTTAAAAAGATAGAGATTTTATAAAAACAGAACTCAGAGTCAGCTCTCCCAGAAAGAGTCAACATAGATTTTATAAGTTTCCCAGGTAGGCGCTGACGCCTGTAGCACTCAGGTGCATTAATGCCTCTAAATGTGTTTCTTTTACTCAGAGTGTTTTTAATGAATTTCTTCTAGAAGCACTTTTGTTATTTTTCTTAATACATTTGGGCAAGTTGGCGTTTCTTGTTATTACATTAACATTAATTTTACCATCAAAATATCCATGTTTTTTTAATGTTACAAAGGTAATAAAGTCTTGTTCTGGAATTCAATAACACTATTGGCTTAAAATTTGGATTTTCAAAGTTGTCCTTCATAGGATGCCCTATAAAGGGTTTTAATATAGTGTCATTTTGTTCCATAATCCACACCAGTATGTGCTGGTAATGCACTTTCAAATTGCTTGTCAACCACAATGAAATTTCACAGAAGAAACAAAAACAAACAAACAAAAAGGGTTTAAATTATAATCAATAAGATAGTAGGATGGACATTCTATTAGAAATATTTCATACATTATTCAGAATAAAAAATCTGGGTTTGATAGCTGTATTTGTGTGTGGGTTCCAGCACAGATTGGAGCAGAAGGAAACCAGAGGGCAGATAAAATGGCAAAGAGAGCAAATCAAAATCCTGTTTGTTTTACAGTTAAAACCAGTAAAGAGGAGGGAAAGAGTATTATTAAAGAAAGACTGATGGAAAAATGGCAACAACAAAAAAAAGGTGGGATGAGGAAAAAACAGGAAGATGGTTTTAAAAATCAGAAGAAGAAGTGATAACAAGTTTAAGATTTGCGCAAATTAAACTTAATTAAACTCTCACAACACATCAAAACCAAACTACTGGCAAATGTGATTACTGTGGAAAATATGAAACAATAGAACATGTTATACTGGAATGTCATATATATGAAAGAGAGAGAAGATCTATGAGGAGAGCGTTTAATGTACTAGGGAAAAGAATAATTTATTAGATA